TTTTTATTTTTCATTTTTTTGTTGTACTGGGGATCAAGGACCTTGCACTTGTGAGGCAGGCGCAGTGCCACTGAGCTGAATCCCTGGGCCTACAAAATTTATATTTTTTACCGGTTGAAATTATATGATTGGATAATTTTGTAAACATTTGTAAAATTGTGAGAGATGGCACATGCACACACACATGGAAGCACAGTATAATGAGTCGTTACATTGAATCCCCACATAACCACCATCCCAGGGTGGGAAGCAGCATCTGGCCAGCTCACTAGCAGCTCCCGAGTCCTTCTTGTTTTTTTGGTACTGGAGATCGAACTCAGCGCCAGAACCACTGAGCTAAATCCCTGGCCCATCCCCTGGGTCCTTATTGATCATACCGTTCCCTCCCACTCACTACTTTGACGACCATCAGCACCTTGCTTTGTTTTATTGTTTTACCACATCTGTGTGTACTCAGACTTTGTAGTTTGACTGCTTTCAAATTGTCTATAGAGCATTATACCATATGTAGTTTTTAGGGTTGTGCTTCTTTCATTCAACCTTATATTTCTAAGATTCTTCAGTGTGTCAGGTAGAGCTGAAGTTCATTTTGTTGCTTGAGGGATATTTTTTTTCCCCTTTTCCTTTAGTGTAACCCCTTTCAACTTTGTTGTTGTTGTTAAAGGTAGGAAAAAAAAAACAGGCTCATCAGAATGAGTTTGGGCCAAGTAAAAGTAGGAAAAGAAGTATACCCTGCAGCATGAGGGCAGGCCACCATGTAAGATGGAACCCAGTGGCCAAAACTTTTTTTCTTTTTTTTTTTGGTACTGGGGATCAAACTTGGGACCTTGCGCTTGTGAGGCAGGCACCGGAACCACTGAGCTAAATCCCCAGCCCCAAACTTTTTTTCTCATTGCCTATTCTTCCCCATCCATAAAATTTTAATACCTGGGATAGTGTACACACAGACACACACACACACACACACACACACATATGCTTTATATATGAAGAAAATAATTTTTTTATCCCATAAGAATCAGTTTTCAGCTGGGCGTGGTGGCACATGCTTGTAATTCCAGCACTTGGGAGGCTGAGGCAGGAGAATCACCATGAGTTTGAGGACAACCTAGGCTACATAGTGAGTTCAAGGCAGCCTGTACTACAGAGCAAGACCTCGTCTCAAAAAACAAAAAAGTTAGTTTTCACTGCCTGGAGATGCTGTCCCCCTGTTGCCATTTTGGTCACTCTTTACTGTGGGACTGCTCTGTGCAGGTTAAGATCTTCAGCAGCATCTACAGGCCTTACCCACGGGATGCCACGGATGCCACCCCCTCCTCTAGTCGTGGCAATCCTGAATGTTTCTAGACATTGCCCAGTGTCTCCTGGGGAGGGTAGAGGGAAGTTGGTTTAGAAGCACTGATGGTGTTGAGCACAAACAGTGTTGTTAAAGGAGCACAAACCGGGACTGCCCTGATGTTTGATAGCAGGAAATCAAAGAGACAGTGGTCCATCATGTCCAGCATTCACCCTTCTTACTGTCTTGGCTGTTTTATGGAATATATTAAGGAGAAGAAAGCAGTTATAAATGGTGCAAATTATATGATACCAGTTTTGAGAAAAGACACCATGTGTTTCATGTGTATAAATCTGGAAGGCCATGTACTAAAATCTTTACAATGATTATCTATGAACAGTGGAGTCAGCAGATGATTTTTCCATTGTCTTTTTGTTTTTCTCTTATTTTCTAATATTTCTACCATGGAAAGGTATTATCTTTGTAATGTTTAAAGTATCTATTATAGGAGACAGTATAATACAGGAGAGAATATCACTACCATCCCAAAACCAATCTGGAATTTTAGTTTTCTTTTTCCTGCAGATAGGCAGTAGGGGAGGGAGGGTTAGTAGAAGGTGAGCTTTTATACTGAGTTGCTTTTTGGAAAATTAGTTGTGTGAATACATGAAGCCTTTTTGTCTAAGCAGGTACTCAGATATTTTCCACCACAAATATTGCACTAGAATGGCTACACTAGAATGGCATCTCCTAATTTCTTCTTCCTTTTTTTACATTCACAGGTTGAAAATGAGTATGGCTCCTACTATACCTGTGATTATGACTACCTGCGTTTCCTGCAGAAGCGCTTCCGTTACCATCTGGGGGAGAGTGTGCTTCTGTTCACCACTGATGGGGCGAAACAAGAATTTCTGCAGTGTGGGACCCTGCAGGGCCTCTATGCTACAGTGGACTTTGGAGTAGGTCAGTGTTGGTCATAGCAGAAAGCACAGCTTCACATTGGCTTTTGGCTCATTTAGTCGATTGGGGAGCAGCTGTTGTTTTAAGAGGCAGTGTGGATGACATTTCTCAAATTTTCCTTTATGAAGTGTGCCAGTAAGCTTTGTGTGACTGTAACAAATACTTGAGATCTTCAGCTTAAAAAAAGAGGAGATCAAACTCAGGACTTTGGGCTTGCCAGGCACGTGCTGTGCTGCCGAGCTACATCCCCAGCCCAGTTTATTTTCTCTTACACTTTTGGAGGCTTCAGTCCATAGTTAGTTGCCCTGTTGCTTTTGGGCCCCAAGGTAAGGTGGTACATTAGGGCCAGGAATCTAAAGAGAACAAAAGACTGGGGTCTCACAGTCCCCTTCAAGGCAGTGTCACAGTGACCTTAAACCTCTTAAAAGTTCCACCACTTCCCAGTAGTGCCATGCTTGGAACCAAGCCTCTAACATATGGGCCTCTGGGGGACTTTTGGGGGGTTTTTTGGTGTTTTGAGACAGGGTCTCGCTATGTAGATTGGGCTATCCTTGAACTCACTATGTAGCCCAGGCTGGCCTCGAACTCACAGTGATGCTCCTGCCTCAGCCTCTCAAGTGCTGGGATTACAGGCCTGTGCCACTGCACCCAGCTCTTCTGGAGGACATTTACGAGCCAAATTGTAGCATTGAGTAACAGGTAAAATAGAATAATTGTCCACCTCAGATGTGAATCATCTTACTTCAGCCTGGAGGACAAGCGCTTCAAGAGTAGCTTCATTTTATCACTGATAGAGTTTGCCTGGACTCTAGAATATGCTCTCTCAAGGGGGATGAGCGAGGGGATGGCAAATGCTGGCTGGGAGAAGCTCTGCCTTTATTTAGGCCCTTGCCCTGAGCCTCTCTGTCTAGGGCCAGCTCTGCTGCTGTCTGCCCTTCCCTGCTCTCTGGGTCCTCAAATCTTGGCAGGATGCTCAGGGCTGCATTGTGGCTAAGTGAGTTAAGTGAAATCAACCACTGGCTGATGTCACAGCCTGTCAGCCCTCAGTGCAGGAAACTTACCTGACACCTGCATAAATCAGAACCTTCTGAGCCGAGAGAGCTGGAGGTGGTTGCCACATGCTACAGAAATTGCCTTGCTATACTCAGGAGTGCTGTGATTTGTTTGCTGCAGAGGTTCGGCATGAAAGCTCTCGATGAACAGGCAGTGTAGCTCAAAGTGTCACTCTTAATTTAGGTTAGAGCATGACAGGTAAATGCAGAACAGGATCCTAATTAGGATCTGAGGCCCAGGTTTCCTTTGTTCTGTTTTGTTTTTGCCATGGGGTCATTATTGAGACAATACAATCTTGAAATGGAGCTTGTAGATGAAACTATTTTATCAATGTTAATGTTCTGATCTTTAGAATGGTTATTGTGGTTTTTAAAGGGCGTCCTTGCTCTGTGCGAATGCACATTGAGGTATTTAGGAGCAAAGGGACCTCATGTCTGCAGCTTAGTCTCACCCAGCTCAGGGAAAAAAAGTTATATTTTTGTGTAGAAAGAGAAACTGATAAAATAAATATACTAATGTGCCAACAACTGGGGAATCCTGGTGAAAAACTGGAGAGTTCTTTGTGCTGCTCTTACAATTTTCTATGAGATTGAAATTATTTCAAGATAAAAATTACCCAAAAAAAAGAAATAACGAAAACACAGCTCTGCAAGTAGCACAAGAACCCTGCCATTCCCTGGTGAGGCATAAGCCACTTCAAGCATATCACACATCCCGCACTTGCCCTCTCTTGAGAGGGACCTGCCAGAGACAGAAATGTAGAAATGTGGGAATTAGACTGACGTCACTTCTTTCTTTCCTTTTTTTTTCCTTTTGCGGTACTAGGGATCAAACCCATGGACTGTGCAAGGCAAGGGCTCTACCACTGAACTATATCCCCAGGCCTTTTTATTCTGTTTTGAGACTGGATCTTGCTAAGTTACTTAGGCTGGCCTTGACTTGTGATCTTTCTGCCTTAGCCTTCCCAGTAGCAGGAATTGTAAGCATGAGCCACTGTGGCGAAGTTGCATTTTTATAGATGTTCTTCTGTATGACTGGAGAAGAACTGATGTTAAGTAAGCTCAGTGTCTCTAGGGACATGGTCCATGGCTCAGAGTGTTCAGTGAGATATCTGCTCCACACTGAGCTGCAGAGGAAGTGGCTGCTGACTTCCTCCTGCTTTGGCTGCCTCCCACCGTTGTGGTGAAAAAGCTCAGTATTTTTCTGTCAGGAGGAGCAAATCAAAGATTATCCTGAGTCTGTTATAAGTGTGATTTGTGTGAGGGGACAGTGCCTGTTCCTATCAGGGTTGAAGGATAGACCATTGCAAGGCCAGTATACCTGCAGCAGGTGGGTTGACCTCCAGCAGCCAGCATCTGTCACTTGTGTGACAGAGGGAGGGACATTGCCTGCTGAGGAGCATGGGCAGCTACTGAGAAGAGGCTCATGAGAACAGAACAATGTTTAAAGATCTGAATGCCACCTCATGCTTAATAACGAGAACTACAGGCATGCGGTGAACAAAACTCTGTTCTTTCTAGGACAGCATTCTCTCCCCAAAACTGGCTTTATACAGACACCAAAGGCGAACCTCAGGCAAGGTGTTAATGGAGAGCCATGGCTGGCGTTGCTTCCACCCTGCCATGCTTGCCATGGGAAGGTGATCTTGGCATGTGAGTCAGGGTGTCCCCTGCTCTGTGTATGTGGACACTCAACCTTTGCTCTTTCCCTGACATGAGGCAGCCCATTGGCTCTCTGTGGGGAAATTCCTTCACTTTTTAGAAGAGGAAGGAACATAGAATTCATGGGAGGCAAGACAACACACATCATTCTGGTGGAATATTTCAGAAAGTTGAGAGTAGGTGGTCTGGAATGGCTGATGGTGTACAAGTGAGAATTTAGAGTATGCTCCATTATTCAGGGATAAACACAATTAGGGCACCTGCTCTTTCTTGATTGTTTCTTGGCTGGCACATATTTGTGGCATTATTTTGCATGGCAGTGGAGGCTGCAGAGAAGTGTGTTCAGGGCAGGCCAGTCCTGCAGGGAGCGTTAAGTCAGCCAGCTGCCAGGTAAAGTGTAAGCACACGGCTGAGGCTGGCCGAGGCCCTGAAGAAATACATCTGAACAAACCAGACCTGTGCAGTGAATGCCAGAGGGATACAGCTAGGGGAGTCCATGGGGACTTTTCAGAGAGGAAACAATGTTCTGTGGTTCCCACACATCCTTCGGATGGTCTGGGTCCACTCTGGAGCTACTTCAGGGGTTTCCCAGTCCCTTGGACCCGTGAAAAGGGGCAGGGGACCTGTCTCGGTTTGTTTGGGCTATTACAGCAGAATACCAGTGGGCTAATTTATAAACAACAGTGACTTACTGCTCACAGTGCTAGAGGCTGGAAAGTCCAAGACCAAGGTGGGCCTGTTCCCTGCTTCAGAGACGCACTTTCCTTCTGCACCTTCATGTGGAGGAGCAAGGGTTTCCCTGAGCCTGTTTCGTAAGGACACTAAATCCCATTCATGGTGGTGGAGTCCTCATAACCCAGTCACTTCCCACCACTTACTACTCTCACACTGGGAATCAGGTTCCAACTTACAAATTTTGGGGAGACACAAACATTCAGACCATAGCAGGGCTGCAGGCTCATGTCCCACGAGGGGCTCATTACTTCTCGATGTTCCCATGACTGACCTTTCTTCTCTCTCCGGTAATTTTCAGACAGCAACATCACAGGAGCTTTCCTAGTCCAGAGGAAAGCTGAGCCCACAGGACCCTTGGTAAGAACTGGGAGTGAGGTGTGGAGACTGTTGGCTTATAACAACTCTGACATGAGTACGGGGGGGGGGGTGACATGCCGAAGAATGGAACCTACAACTTGGGAGGCTGAGGCAGGAGGATTGCTGAGTTTGAGGCCAGCGTGGGCTACCTAGTGAGTTCAAGGCCAGCTTGAACTATGTACCGAGACTGTCTCAAAGTTGGGGGGAGGTGCAGCCTACAGATTCTTGGTTTTCTGGCTCTGGAATCAGCAGTTGAGGGATTATGGGGATATAGACCTTCTATGTGCTCATGTTATGTGCACCCATTTGGAATCAAAGCCTGTGCTTCAGTGGCAGCAAATGTGGAGTAACGTGAATGGGCAGAGCAACTCCCACAAGGGAACCTTTCATCTCCATCTTCAGTAAGGCCAGGGAGCATCCCTGCCCCCGGTGGGTCATACGGCCTGGCAGTGACTGGGAGTGACAGGGCCAGGGTCTGGCTCAGGTTGGTGTCTTTTAAGAGTGATGTGTGGATGGGCCGGGGATTTAGCTCAGTGGCTATGCTGCCTGCCTTGCAAGAGCAAAGACCCAAGTTCAATCCCTGGTACCAAAAAATAAAAAAGAGTGATGTGTGGAAGAGGGTCTCCAACTTTCAAATGTTTATGAGTCACTTGGGCATCTGGTTAAAATGTAAAATTCAGCCAGGGATTCAGCTCAGTGGTACTCCCGTCTGTCTTGCAAGCGCAAGGTCCTGAGTTCAATCCTCGGTACCCCCTCCCCCCTAAAATGCAAAATTCAGTCTGCTGGGTCTTCATGGAGCCTGAGGGTCTCATTTCCAGTATTAGTCAGGTGGCATTGAGGTTGTACTTTGCTGCTGCCCTTTGAGTCGTAGGGCTTGGTGGCTTGCTCAGATGGCTGCTAGAAGGGGGAGGAGAAGAAGGCAGTGGCAGGGTCCAGGTGGCTGTAGACAGCCGATCAGCCCTTCCTCAGTAGTGGCGACTGTGCTCACTCAGCCCAGGGTGAGGGGCTCCACTCTGTGCAGGCCCTGTTCACCAGTAGCGTTTCCCGAGTCTGCTCTGCTTAATGAGCAGTGCAGAACCTGCAGTCACAGACTTTGGGTGGAGCTATTTCCTGGAAGCTGACATGTCCAGGTTTCATTTTTCTTCTTTGGAACATGGACTTGGCAGAAGAATGATAAAGAGGAAACATGAAGTTTTTGGAGTTTGGCTTATAGACTACTTGGACAAGTCTATGTCATTATAACTCACCTTGAGATCTCAAAGTCTGTATTCACACAAAGGATGAATTGGGAACTAATTCTTGTTTGTTTGTTTGTTTTTTGTTTTTTGAGACAGAGTCTTGCTATGTAGCTGGTCTTGAACTCACTATGTAACCCAGGCTGGCCTCAAACTCATGGTGATCCTCCTGCCTCAGCCTCCTGAGTGCTAAGATTACAGGTGTGCACCACCACACCTGGCTCAAAGCTAATTCTTTTATAAAAATATTTTGTCCAGTACTTTGCCCAACTAAACTTTTCTGCTAGGAAATGGTTAACAAACTTGATGTAAGTAAACCTTTTTAGGAATATAGTTGTCCCTCAATATCCATGGGGGATTGGGTCCAGGACTCCCCCTCAGGTACTAAAATCCACAGATGCTCAAGTCTTTTTTTTTTTAATTTACTTTTATTGGTACATTTTAGGTATACAGTATAATGACATTCATCATTGGAAATTTGCACCTTTACATAGCCTCTCTTGGTTCTTATGTTT